GGGGGGACACGCGAAGGTTTGGGGCTGTGTAACGAGCTGAGCTGTGTACGGGAGCGTTCACTCCGAAGCACGGTCTGAGTCCCCTCGGGGGGACGGGGGCTCGCTCTGGAGGTGCTTTTCCCTCGGACCCGAGGCTGAAGCTTTGCCATCAGCTCCCCCGGGCCTGTCACCGCTCTCACCTGCCCCATCCTCAGCTTGGGGTGTGTTTATGAACAGCTCACAGTGATAGCTGGAATTGTCCTGAGAGTGGGGATCAGAAATTTCAGTGATGTTCAATATGTCAGGAAAAAAATCTTGATATTTTTTCAGAATTCTTTATTTCACCTCTTCTGGAGGGGTGGGTGCTGAAGGGTGATGAGTTTTGTTGTGCATGGGCATGAATTTAACTTCTGTGTTTGCTGGGTTTTTGTTCTGTCCTTTGTTATTGGTGTAGCAGCAGATTTTTGGGTGGTTGAGTTTGTTTTTGAGACTTTAACTTTTCGAATCAGTTATAAAACTCGTAAGTTCCGTTAGAATGGAATAGCTCTGCTGTCTGTGTTGAAGTGACGTGTAGGAGCTAAGGAACGAGTGCAGACAGCTTGCAGATAATGGTGTACAGAAGTAGGACATGCTTTGTGTGCACTCTGAGGAACGTTAGACAAACGGTTCCTCTGTTTGCTGGGTCCTCAAGGAGGAAATATTTGAGATGAGGATGTTCACTTGCAGAAGTTCGTCCGATAGTGCAGAGGCCATTGAAAACATGCCTGTGTAATATGGCAAGAGCCGGCATTTTTCACTAGACTTTCTATAACTTCTTAATTTAAATAGTTCTGTGCTGTGAACAGGGTTTTTAAACCTTGTCTGCACCCGGGTCAGTGGGTGACCTTTCCAGCCTGTATCTTTTAGAGTAAAACTTGGTCGCCTTATTTCATAATTTTTATTTTTTTTTCCCTCCACTGGACAGGTTTGCTGTCAGTGTTGGCTACTGGAAGGACCCTTACATCCAATATTTTGTCAGACAAGCTAAAGAGAGAAAAGCACCTGAAATCAATAGAGGCAAGTTGGGATGTGGACTCGAATGAAGACAGTGCAAACATATTCTTAGCTGGTCTTGAAGAGAACCTGATAAAACCTCATATACTGGGTACTATGGAGTGTAGAAAATACATGAAAGAATGAGACAAGTTTTCTTCACAGTAATAATTCCATACTGTGTTTTATATTTTAAATATTATTCTTTAAATCAAAACTCTTTTCCTTTGCATTTGTATTCTGAATGGAATGTCTCAGCTTGCGGTAATCTCTACAAAGCAGTCAAAAGTGTTGATTTGACCCAGGACAGCAGGGTATGTCAGCTCTGGTCTCTGCAAAAGCATGCACATCAGATAGAATTGTTCTGTTCAGTTTGGAGTGAAACTCGACTAAAACTTAGGTAACTTAAAAAGTGTGTGTTATTCTTCCTAAGAAACACATTTTTTAAAATAGGCTACCTAAAAATCTTAAACATCACGTATTATATGAAAATAATAATTAAAAGCAAACTTTTTTTTTTTGTTAACAGGCTATTATGCTCGTGTTCATGGAGTCAGTTATCTGATTAAAGCTTTTCTAAGGAAGACAGAATGCAACTGTCAGATAGTTAACCTTGGTGCTGGCATGGATACCATGTTCTGGAGATTAAAGGTAACGGTAGCTGAGAGTAACGGCTTTGGCTGATGGGGAGGATTTGCGTGGACATTGGAATCGCTCTCTGCGAGGGCTTATCGGTGCTGTGTTCTGTAGTACAGCATGGAGGTGTGCTGGTCTGAGGCTGTCCTGCCTCAGTTCTCTGCTTGTTTAGGATTAGTTTAGGTGCCTTTAAACCTCAAAGCGCAGGAGAGGCTGCTGTGATTTTCACTGGCTTTTACCCAGAAGCGTCTGACACGCAGCTGACCTCTAGTGGACTGTAGGAACAGAGCTTGAACTCCACAGTTTGCAGTCCTCTGTAAGCCTTAAGATTTCGCTTTTTTATCCGATGTTAAAACTGGAATAAGGTACCAAAGTACAGGATTGTACAGGCTCTATTTACATGCTTCTGAATTATTTATGTAAAATGTGAGTTTATATCTGTAACTATATATGTCTGTATGCACGCATGTAGTTCACAACAATTCAGATCATTCAGATGTTACATGATAATATCATTCTGAGTGAACACACCTCTAAGTCAGCTTGTCTTCGCATTAGCATTTCTATTTGTAAATTTGGTTTCTGGAAAAAAGCCCAAGGCCAGTCACGTTTTGCTTGGTCACAATTCATTATATTTCAGTCAGTGGAAGGGAAAAAATAATGATTTTTTTCCTGAGATGTGAAGCTTTCTTCTTAGCTGCGTTCCTATGAGAGCTCTGTCAATACACAGTTTTATTAACTTTCCTCTAACAGGGATTTTAAAAGCTCAAGTGGGGCCTGTCATTCCAATTCTTTCTCCTTGTGAAGAGCAGATGTGGTATAATTAACGTGGAGAAGATGGGACTCAGTTAACCGAGCACGTCAGTGTTCTGACTGCTGATTGAATCTACTGTTGGGAAATTCATGGGGTTGACAAGATGGAGCTAGCAGTACATATCCATCACAAAAGGATTGCTGCATAGGGAGAAACTCGTTACAGCTTCTCTGCCAGGGTGTCAGATAGTGACAACATGAGATGAAGAGGTTTTCCTCTTTTTGGCAGTAGAGGAATGCTGAGGCACTTGCAGTCTGGCTGTCGGTTTGAGGACAAGTTGTGGAATGTGGTCACTTTCTGTGTAAACCTGTGCAAAGTGCTCCTGATCCCTTTCTTAAAAGAATATACTGAAAGTGCATGCTAAATGTCATTATAGTTTCCTGTTGCTGTGCTCTTCCAGATCCTGATAATGTTGGAATGTATGTTTCAGTGATCTAGTGTCTAGAATTGCTGCATTACATAAAATGTTAAATAATTTCCCTAATACTTAATAGGACATTCTAATGTCTCTCAACTGTTTTTATTTTTGTTGTTTTGTGTTTTGGGTTTTTTTAAAGCTGTGGTACATTGTTATACTTCAGTTACAAATGCCGGCATAAACTGAAGGAAAACCGTTTAGCACTTAAGGTTCTATCTTCTTGTTATGTGTGTGTGAAACTTGAATGTCCCTAATTCAAAAGTCTTATTCCAATTCTCAGGATGAGAATCTTCTCCCTAGAAAATATTTTGAAGTGGATTTTCCAATGATAGCTGCAAGAAAAATACATAATATCAAGTAAGTATAATGCTTATGTTTAGCTCTGTGAAACTGAATGTAATTCAGCAAAATCTCATGAATTGCAAGCTACAATTATTTCGTCTCTCATCTGAGAGAGACATCTTCTCGTCATGCCCTAGGTTCTAGAATAAAGGTTTCATTATGCCGGCAAGTCATACTTGTGACTGTGCAGCTGCTACTCCAAAGTGGAGAAGTGGATATGGGGAAGCTTTAGGGAGGAAAGCAGCCTCTGTTCTTAATTATGTAAAATATAATGGCCAGGGGAAGCCTCACAATGATTAGAGGTGATGAAGTCTTCTCTTACTATTGAAGACAGTACTAAATTCCCAGACTTGCATGTTCAGTGAGAGAGGTAGGATAGCTGGTACCATACGTGTATGTTCTGCTTGAATGAGTACATTAAAGCTAACAGAGGATAGTTGAAGAGAGTGTCTGGATTTCTCTTGAAAGATTACCTCAAAGCTTAAGAGTCACTGGGTATAGAACTCAACTGCGAGTTATTACCAAGTCCAGCTTGCAAATGTTTTTATTTCCAGTAGAGGGCAGAGGTAGTCTCTTGTCTGTAACACACACACACACACACACATATATTTTTATATATATATTAAAAGAAAAAAATTGTAAGCGCACTGTTCAACAAGCTTAACTGCTCAGAGATGCTTCTTCCTTCTTCCCACAGATCAAAACCTCCCCTGTCAAAACCAATTATGGAATCCCATTCAGGGGACTCTCTTCTAATAGGTGAGTCATCTTAAAAATAAGTCAGCAGTGTACTGCAGCACTTTTAAAACTTTTCTGATCATTTTGTTCTGCTATGTGGGCAGGCTTTTAATGTTTGAAATGCTGTTTGGACAGAGAATTGAGAGGGAAAAGAGGCTTTTTTCTTCTCTTACAGACTCCTGCCCATTTGTTCTGTGTCATGTTACAAGTGTCTTCTCTTGAAGTGGTTTTATCCTGCCAAAAAGTTGTTGGGTTTTTTCTTTTCCTCTCGTACGTAGCTTAAGTTATGGTTCCTGTCACAGAAAAGGACAAATGCTGCTGATACTCAAGTATACTGAATTAAAATATCTATGGAGTGTGTTCCCCTGTCTTCTTTCTGTCTCATCAAGAGCACAATTCTGTATGTTTAGTGGAGTTTGCACAGAAGAAATGCGGCCTGCAAAGTCCGTTCTCAGGAGCCAGTGCCACTTGGTACATTTTAGAATTAAGAGGATATTAGGTTCAGGTGGTGTGGTTGTACTGTCTTCGCTTACAGCCCTACTGTGTTTGTGTCAGGATTGTAATTCAAAAATCTTTGTCTGGGTTCCACTGAATAATGTTTGCCGTGCCCCAGTAGCAGATACTGCACTGTAGGAGCTGCTTTGGACCCTTTGGGAGGAACAATAATTACCTGCATCTACAATACCAGCTGGTTTGTGTTAGCAGATGTGACCATATAGCAGAGCTAGCGGTGTTTTGTGTTCTCTGGTGGGATTACATCTAGAGGTGCTTTTAATAAGCACAGCACTAGCTGAGGATCTGGAGGGCTTGAAGGGGCCCTCCAAAGAGTGAGGAAGAGTGAGTGAGAATGGCAGAATTCAAATCAAAATTTAAATTCAGTTTGAATCAAAAGGTGAAGGCCCAGTGCAACATCTCAGAACAGGGCTCCTACGTACCACTGTGCTGCAGCTAGGAGACCTGCGTGTGACCGATCTCGTATCGACAGTGAGATATGCTGCGTAATCACCGTTAAGAGCATTAATACAAGGTCGGTCAGAAGGGTTTGATAGTATTTGTGTTCCTGAACAGCCGCAGATACACCCAGTGTAGCAAACAGCTGCAAAGTTATCAAGTTGCAGTGGTGTATTGTAATCAAAAGCTACTAATTGGCACGTCACAGCAGTCAACAGCAATTAATGTATCAGTGTTTGAACACATTGGAGTGGCTTGTTTCTCTTGTTCTTTCTGAGTGCTGGGTTTTAAATACTTTAGAGGAGCGATTTTACTGTAACCGGGCTGCTGTAGGCTCTGCTACACCGAGATCCTTGGGATGTAGCATAATGTCCAGATACTTGGAGATGGTGGGAGTCTGCTGTGGAATCCCAGTTTGAACTGGCATTCGATAACCATGGGTCAGTTTGAGTGAAATCCCTGTGGGAACCCTCATTTAAGGACATATTAATGGAACTGCTTCTTGGAGAAGTGCCACCAGAAGAGGCTGTGGACTAAGTAGACAAATCAACAGATGAATAGAGATTTCTTACAGATCTAAAGGAACTTGGCAGTGAATTCGCTCAGCTACTAACTGGTGTATACCCTCTCATTTTAAAACTGTCTTAGTACCTGAGAACTGGAAGGTGGCGGCTGTGACTCAAATGGGCTCCAGGAGAAATCCAGGGAACTGCAAGCCAGTAGGACTGATGTCTCTACTGGACAAATTAGTAGGAACTCTAAGAGACAGACTTAGTGGAACAGAGGAATAATATAATGTGTTGAGAAAGATGGCTCTTGTAAAGGTAAGTGATGCCTCACAAACCTGTTGGAGTTCTTTATAGAAGTTCAGCTGATACATTGGAAAAGGACATCCAATTAATATAGTGCCTGAGTTTAAAAAATGTGTTTTGACAGCGTGCCAAAGCAGTTGCATGGTGGCTGTAGGGGGAAGGAGTGGTTCTCATGTGGACAGAGCTGAGGATGGAGGGCAGGCATATGTTGTTCATTTTCATTATGGAGGAAGGGAGAGATCTGTGCTTAAGGAGGTGTCGTTGTTGAACGCTAAGAAATGATTGGGAAAATAGAGTGATTAGTGAGTGGCAGCTTGTTGGCAAGTCCAAACTCTTCAGAGTGGTAAAGAACTGTAGAAGAATCTTTTGAAATTAGTGACTTGGTGATAGATTCAATGCAGATTAATAGAAAGTGATGCACATGGGTGGAAAAATAGTTTGTGCCTCACATGTGAATGATAGGCTGCTGGCTGATTATCGCTGCCTGCGAACAGGATCTGGGTATTACAGTCAAAAGATATATGAAAGCATTGGCCCAGGAATGGTCCAGAAATCCAAATAAAATTTAAGGATTCTTAAAAAAAAAAGATAAAAAACAACATAGGTGCCAGTATTAGTAGTACGTGTTTGCCCTCTTTTTGTCTTTTCCCTAGGCAGCTGCGGTTGGCATCTGTGAGAGGCAGGATGCCATACGGGGGGGACCTTGGGTCTGCCCCGGTACAGCTGTTAGACTAACGCAGTGTTCTGGGAATACCCCGTCATAGGCGGTGTGGTGGGGTGTAGTGCAGCAGCATTTCCAGGTAGGGAAATGTTACTCTTTTTTGTGGGCTTTTTGGGGGTGGGGATATGGACCAGGATTTTAGAATCTTGGGGAGGAAGGTTCTTGCATCCTGTTTCTGCCCCCCACAAATCAGTCCTCCTGTATACCAGGAATGATTTGTTTAGATGCTTTGGAATTTGATTTTTGGGTTGTTGTAATATCGATTGACGGGACGCTTGTTCTCTTACTGCTTTTCTTCTCACACTAAATGCTTTCATTTCATGAAGCTAGTGCTAACAGACAACTTTATCGGCTTCAGGGCAGCATCTGCTTTCTCCTTGCCCTTTAGACAAAGCAGTGACAGCATGGCTTGGAATTCACGTGTAGATATTTGTGGCCTCTGCCCTTGAATGCAGCAAGATGACAGTTGTCATTGGACAGCTTTGTCGTTTCCTAGGGAATGTTAGATCTCCAGGGGAAAGCAGTGAATTCATGCAGTAGTTTGACATTGCTCTGGCAATATCAGATTACATTGTTTTCAAAGTTCAGGGGCCCTATCTGGTTTACGATGCAGTGGCTAGTGTTGGGATGTTAGTACTCCACCTTTGCTACCTTGGAAGTGCAAATTACACTTCCATGAACTATTACCTTTCGGTGTCACTCACCCACATTCTGCCCCTGTCCGGTCCAGCTTTGGGACTTGGTGGTTTTAATGTCCATTTCCCTGAAATTCCAAACTCAGCGCAGATGTGGGGTGTTGCTGTCTTGGTGACTTGCACGCCTGGCATTTGGGATGATCCTGCACTTGCAAGACAAACTAAATTTCTTTGTGTTTTGACGTGTACCCTGTTGTGATGTTGTAGTTAACAGCCAACCTGGGTGAGCCCGTATCGTGCTCGTGAGCCTGCAGAATAGGTCGAATGGGCTGGTGGTTTGTACAGCTGCCAAAGGTACCTTAGGCTGAAAACCCTCACGAAATCTGTTTGAGTCAATAGTATCCTGCAAGCTGTCTCTTGGAAAACCTCCAGGAAAATTGTTTCACTCATCTGAGAAGAGAGTAAGAAGAGAAAACTCCAAATTCTTGTAGCAGAGGAAGCACTGCGCATTGTGTGCCTGTAATGCTGCTTCAGCAGATGGATTCAGTGGTGGGTGAGTGCCCGAGGGCCACCAGAAAGCAGAGCATTTGCTTTGTGATAGCATGTTTCTGGGAGGAAAAATTTTATGGCAGTGAGGTCATAAGGTAACTAAGCAACTCCTGCTACTATTTAGTTACTGCAATGATGTCTGAATTTGAACTACTTGTTACCTCTGTGCCAAAAGTCATGGAAAATACACATACACGTGGTATGATGGGAGCAAAATGTTCTCCGTAGCGTTATGCAGGGGTAACAGAAACGTGCACCCAGGCTGAGAGAGCCTGTGTTGGGTAGATGGGGTGGGCTGGAGTGGTGGGTCTCGTTTTCTTCCTCTTCTTTGCTCTCCCCTCCCTTGTATTTCTCAAATGAAATCTGAATCTGGTATTTCTCAAACCTTCATTTCAGACAGGTCCAAGAGAGAAACTCTGTACATAACTAAATGAGCTGAGCGTGAGCATCACAAAGAAAACCGTGGGGTATCTCCGTGCTCTAGAAAAGAACATCATGACCAAACAACTTTCCTAAAAAAGAACATGAAGTATTGGTGCCTGGATAGAAATTAGTGCTTGGAATGCGGGGATTTCACTGGACTGAGCCACCAAACGTTGCTGACTGTCTGCATTGGGGCGGTTGGCCTAAGTCACAGCAAGGTGGCCTTATTCATTTGAAAACTGCCGCTGACTTGCGTGTTAGTGCAGCGTGGGTGGTGGTCTCCAGCCCGGCCAGGAGGGAAGGCAGCAGCGTTCCTGGCAGCACAGAGATCTGATGGAGCCTGCAGGGCTCTCGTCTGTGGGGAGGTCACTGTGGCAGACACCTTCAGAAGAGTGAGATTACTGTAAGAAAAAAAAAAATACAGGGTTTTTAGCACAAAAAAAAAAAAAATTCATTTAAAAGAAATTTCTTGTTCATAAGAGGAAATCAATGGAGTCTGTGTGACTGTGCTACCAAGCTGAAACTTGCTTTTTCTTTTCCAGCTGCTCGGCAGATCAGCAGGTATTGTGAAATGTGCTTGCACCAATGCTGCTCAGTCAGGATGGGAGCATATTTGCAAATTTTCATACTTAGAGCATCAAACTCTGCAATAAAGTAGAAATTGGTGCCAGAGCAGAACTAGCAGCACATTGTTTTCTGGCATGTTTATGGCTGTACTTTGACTTTTAGCCTCCAGGCTGGGAACAATGTGAACTCCAGCTATCGTCGGCTGTGGCTGCCCTGCAGTGAGTGGGTGTCTGCTATCGCAGTGTGAGGTGATGGAGCAGTTGTCAGTCTGATTTTAAAATGTTGAAGGTGTTTGCCTAGTTAATTTGATCTCTTCATCCCTTTGACCTTTATATATTAAGGATTTTTTTAATGGTATGAATAGACCAAAGGTGGAAGCTACCAGAGAATCTTACAAGGAAGTTTGGAAGAGGCTTAGCTTAAACTCTTTCTTTCCTCTTGCTTTTTTTTTTTTTCTTTTGCCTCTCTTTGCATTTTAAGGTTGACTGGTGACAATTTCATATTCTTCCCTAAGATTTCCTTCAGGATAAAAGTATTGATCATAGATGTTGAAATATATGAATTATGGAGATATTTAATGAGGTGCTCTGAGATAGGTTTAAAATGTACGATTTTTAGCAATTGTATCAGCTCGTGTATAATGCGTGTGCAGTGCTGCCTCGGCACTGTCTGTGGTTGTGTTTGCCAACATCCATCAGCGGAGAGTCGAGGCAAGTTGGCAGGAAAATGTGTGGAGGAGCAGGCATGTTCTGTTTGAATGGACCACAGGAGAGCCAGGCAGCCCCGATGCTGGAAATGGAAGTCAAGTGATTGCATTTGGAGTAAAGGGCTTTTGAACAGAGGAAGACAATGCATTCCTCGTCAGCTTGCTTGGTCTTTTAAAAGTTTCTGCTGCAAGGAGTCCTGTATTAAGGCATCAAATGTACTTGGCTTTAAGGTTTAAAAAATATATCTGTCTGCTGAGCCAAATCACCCTTAAGGAAACCTGTTCTGGTGTGGTCTTTGGGTTTTTTCTCCAGTAGTTAACTTGGCATAACCAGGCTATGGCTGTTTATTTTCACTTGTCCACAACCCACGTCTCCCAAACCACTGTCTGCTGCTCTGCGCTGGGGATCGCCCAGGTTGCTTCCTTTGGCTGTCTCCTCTCCCAAGGCGTAACAGAAATTCCGTGGGGTTTGTTCATGTGTATACAGGCTTATTAAAAACAGAGTTAGTAATTCTGATTACTGAAATTTGGAGCCTTGTGAAGGACAGTTTTCTGGCAAAAGGTTTGAGAGGTTTTGCTCTTTTCTGCTCTTCGTGGTAGAAATGCTTGAATCGACGTGGTGTGAGCAAGAGACGGGTACTTCCACCTCTGAAGTGTTTGTACTCCTTCCATTACTGGATCACTTTAAAATTTTTGTAGTTTATTTCTGGTTATAATTAACGTACTAGTATGTCCACGTCAATGAAGCTGGACAAGAAGATGGCATTAATTTCATGCTAATTGTGGTGGCTGACGTTTACCGTGCTGCATCTCCGGACAGCAAACCCATCGCTATATAAATACTTTCCTGTGTGTGGTGGGGTTTTTTGGTGGTACTGTTCTGATGCCATTATCATGGCCTTGATATAATAACTTAAATAGAAGGGTGTGGGAAGTAGTAAAGCTATTACAGAACATGCACATGGAAAAAAGCCTTGACTCAAAATGTTGAATCATTTGCCGCACAACTTTTTTTTTTTTTTTTTCCTTTTTTTTTTCCCCTGTAACTCTCTGCATGAACTGTTCTGGTTTTTGTACCTGTTCAGAAATATTTCTGGAGAGACAGCTATTGTCATTTGCTAGTGCCATTTTCAAACAGTTGGTCACTTGAAAACTAAATGGAGGTTCATCTTCCAGAGTGTTTGAAGCACTGCTTAATTTAATAAATTGCTTTTTGATTTTTTTCCACCTCTTTTTTTTTTTTGTCTCTCCTGAAGCAGAAAGTACCTTTAACCCTGTCTCTTCACCCACTTGGCTTCTCTTTCTTCTCTTCACCTAACTCTTGACATCTGCTCCCGTTTCACTCTCCAGGAGCTGTGTCTCTCTGCAGCAGGATCCCAGATGGAGCTGTGCCAGAGCTTCCTGCTGCAGACAGAGATTGACTTTAAACTCTTACTCGGGATTTTTCACTGTTTAGCTTATTTTACTGCTTGGAAGTGCCGCTATTATGGCAAAGTGTCTTTTGACTTTAGGATTACCTCCTCCTTCATGTTTGAAAGCATTTATAGGAGCTTGCTGCCTGTTGTGTCCCAGGGTGAATGTTTGTTTCTCAGAATACCTTCTCTAATTTGACTCCACACTAAAAGACCATCACTAGATCATATGCAAAGGCTAAGGGATGACTTTTTTTGGCCCCCAAACCTGTGTCTGATACCTATATATTATGTAGCTGTAGGTATTGTTACTTTATATAGCTGCATCTCTTGTTAATATTTAGAACATTGTTACTCTTAAATTAGTTTTTCAGAAATTGGTGTACATTTTTTATATGTACATATGATGGGTCATCTAAAAAGACTCTGCAAACAAAACAGAAAAATGCTGCCTTGAATCTTCACATTTTTTTTCTTCTCTCTGCATTCCTTGAAACCATGGTAACGGCTGGGATAACCTATCTGCATTATAGTGGCTGCGGAGTGGAAGATTAGGCTTGTTGCATTGCCTCCTGCCGATATATCACCATTTGTAAACCACAACAATCGGGTATAAAGGAAGTCAATGTTTTAAACAGAGGGGTTTGCTGTTAATTGTTCGGTATAACAGATCAAACTTTGACTTCACATTGTTCCTGTGCATTTCTTTTAATTTATAATTTCAGCATCTCATATGTAACCATTAGTCTCTCAAAATTTTGACCTTGCAGATTCTCACAGCCTAGACTCCAGTCGGTATGCCATAGTAGGAGCAGATCTCCGTTTCTCGTCAGATCTGGAGGAAAAGCTAAAGAAACATAACCTGGATATACAGTAAGATTACTTCTTTTTAGGTTATTTTTTTGATGAGGGCTTGTGGAAGCGTACCGATGAGGGTAAAGTCAGGCTTGGGCATACGGTATCCGCACCCAGTGCTCATTATGCCATTTCCATGGTTACCTTTTCCTGAGCCCTTTGAGCAGAAGGAATTGTTCAGACACCTCATGCAGCCTCGCTGAGCCGAGCGGGCTGGCGTTGCCGTGGCTGCTTGGTCGTTCCAAGTCTGAAGCAAGGTTGTTCCTTGCGTGGTCTATTCTGCAAACTGCGTTTTTGTCCTTCCTGAGAAGATCAAGCGTTACAGAACTATTTGCTTCTTGTTCTGAAAACACTGGGGGAATCAAGTCTGGCTTTCTGGGGGTGTGTTTCTGGGGGTTGGTTCTCTTTGGGATATACGATCCTTTTGCACAACTTACAGCTCTTGTTGCAGGGCAGGCAGCTGTCATTCCTTCTCGCTTTCCCCTCATCCCTGGCCCTGGAGGGGATGAGTTCCTGCGCCAGCCGTTTTTTGACTCATGCAAGTTTTCTTTCTCTAATTCATGAATTTAACTCCTAGAGATTTCTACCTCTTTGGTGAATCTGGTTGAAATGTAGTTAATAGAATCATAAGCTATTCAAGGGGAATCTCTAAACTAGAGATGTATCAAACTTTCATACATTGCTGGTTTTTAAAAGTGGAGTTTTCATTGGTTCAGTTGCATTTAGCTTTAATGCTGACTGATGGGCAGTACGCAGATCAGTGAACATCTTCCACCGCTGTTGTAATGGCTGTATGAGTCAAGATTTCTGGGAGCTTAGCTGGTAAAATGAAGAATAATTCCATCAGAGTTAAATTATTTCAGAGTTTTATCTTTGTAATAATTTTCTATTGCCTGCAGTTAAAACCCCTGTTGTTCCCTAGACCTTCTGGTAAAGTGATTGCCGTGGAGTCCTCTGAGAACGTAACTCTGGAAGCTAATATCTAGGATTTTGTTGTTCAAGTGTTAGGCTTCTGAGGGGTGCAGGTTTTAAGTTTTTAGAGTGGATGATGGACATAGCTTTCAAATATAAGCTACATAAATAGCGGCTATCTGGCTGGGTGGGAGAGAGCATATGGGGAAGCAGAATGCATCAAATTGCCATTTAAATCTTTACACTTCCATCTCCTGAAATCTTGCCTTGCATGCCTACATTGCTGCTCCTTGTTGAATTTCTCGTGCTTCTAGTGACTTTTCTTGTTCCTGTTCATTCTAGCAATTAAAAGAAAACTCCATCGTTCGAAGGAAGTTCACTCGTGTAGATGCCTATTTTGGGGGTTTTTGTGGATGGAGGGGGAAGAGGCAATGTGCAAACTGTAGATTGCATTTTGTTAGATAATAATATGTGAAGCTTATTTTACAGATACTGAACACATTTGTCTAATTAAAATTCTTGTTGGATCTTTTAAAAGAGAAATGTTTTTTCAATTTGTATTTCATTCTGAATTTTACTGATCTCTGAAAGAGTTCTGAAAGAGTGCAGATTGTGTGTACAGGGTACAATTCCTCTGCAGAATGGATTCTAGCATGCCCTTGGGTTTGTGCTGTCACAGTTCAGAGGAGACGTGCAGAATGCACATTCTTCTGTGTCCATACTGCGGCTGGCTTAGAGATGGTTTCCTAATGTCTCTGTTTTGTAACCATGGGAGTCCCTTGTCGACTGCCAGAAAACCCAGCTCTAGTCAATTTGAAGTGATTTCATTGAGTCTTAAATGTCTAGTTCATAAAAAAGTGGAGGTCTCTTAAGAATTTTTGGGGACATTAAATTACTTGCTAACAATTCTTTATAGATTTTTCTTCTTCTTTTGCTGGAAATAGTTCTCTTTTTTTTGTTTTAAAGTTTGCCAACGCTTCTGGTAGCGGAGTGTGTGCTGGTTTACATGACACCGCAGCAATCTGCAAATCTTTTAAAGTGGGCAGCAAGCACTTTTCCAGTGGCGATGTTTATAAATTATGAGCAGGTAAAACAAAAGTGGCATTTTAAAACCTGTATTATCATAAGAATTATTCTCAAAAGTGGAATTGCTGCTTGTAAAATAAAAGTAGGGCATATCTTTTTGTATAGAGAACAGTTTATGCTGAATTTCTGCAATAATGTGTTTTATTTTGTGGATGTTAGCTCATTGTAGAGAACATGTAGCTATTCTGAAAGGCAATTGCTGCGCTACATTGAACTAGAATAACTGGGGCTTAATCCAGATGTGGAGAAGACCATAGAATATGGGTTCAGATAAGACAGAGGAAAAAGAAATTATGCTGAATGTTGGATATGAGTGTATCACATAAATAATTACCTCTCTGTGTTCTTTGGCAAAGTTGAGCAAAAATCTCATCAGCATGAACTCAGCTTCTCTGTATAGAAGTACAATGGGGAACTCGGTGGCTCCAGGATTTAGTAACAGGATCTCCCAAGCTGTAAATCACTGCTAGAGGGCTCAACCAAGTTGCTGACCACTTAAAGCAGAGTCAGTTTTCAGTGCCCAGAGCAGAGTCCCTGTGTCTGTAAGGGCAGTGGTGTTGTCACCATTAAACTGGCACTCCACTTGTGACCATGAGGTGGCTCAGGAGGGTGCGGCAGTGGGAAGTGAGACCTGGTGTAAGAACATGTGAAATGAACTTTAATGTTATCCTGTACATTTTATGACATAGACAATTCAAGTGTTTAACCGAGTTACTGCTTTTCACTGCGATGACATTCTTTTCGGAAGGAGGAACTCTTTTGTCTCATTCTCTACCTGAGGTGAACATGGCAGACCGCTTTGGGCAGATCATGATTGAGAACTTGCAGAGACGGCAGTGTAACCTGGCTGGAGTGGAAGTCTGCAGATCTTTAGACTCTCAGGTAAAGGGGCACAGAGCTCTGGGTGTGTTTGACATGAAACTTAATGAATCTGTCTGCAAGTTCTGTGTGTGCGCTGTAGGGCTCAGAGCAGTCACCAAAGCAGGTTTGGGGGATGCAGATGCTGCCTACTGAACCCATTCCTATCCGTGTTACAGTGGTTCCCTGTTATCAGTGCCATGGGTGCTAGATATCCCTTAGTTTCAGTAGTTGTACAAAAGCTGCAGTAGATCAGAGCACAGCTCCATCTAGCCCGCTGTCCTCTCTGCGCAGAGGTTAGCAGCAGATGCTTAGAAAAGAGTATAAGAGCTGTTCAAAGAACAGGTCAAGCAGATGGCCTACAAAATCCTTAGGGGGAAAAACTGTTCTCTGGTATTTTTCCTGGAGTCCTCTGAAAACTGTTCCACTTGTTTATTTTACAGAGGGAACGATTGCTGATAAATGGCTGGGAAACGGCGCGTGCCATTGATATGATGAAAGTTTACAGCTTTTTGCCACAGGCTGATGTCAAAAGGTATTACTGATAGCTTGCTTGTGGCCAAAAGTCATCTTCAGATGCCATTTCCAAGGTAGTTCATGTCAATGTGTGGTGCGGGATCCCCTAGTATGTCAGCGGGAGGCTGTGCGCAGATGCTGGCTGGGTAGCCAGAACAGATCTGAGTGTGAAGCTTCTGCAGAACCTTAAGGATAATGCCTGGAGCAATGTTAATCATCCAGAAGGTTATTGCTGCCAGGAGTAGACTGGCAGTGGTGATGGTTTATTTGGGTGGAATATAAAGCATGTAGTGACAGAAATTTGCAGATAAAAGATGCTACAGAAATGCTTTGTTGAGTGTATTTAGGAGCTTTTGCCCCTCAGCCTCTTTTGATCCTCAGCAGCAGCCCTTCCAAATATTTAGCATGGAAAATGAACACTGATATTCAAGTAATCTGGAGTGAGAGAGAGGAGTGTGCCAGTTTAAACTTTTTAAAGCAAGCACAGCTTGGGAGAAGTTCTCCCATTTGTTTGGTGGAAGACATTTAAAGATCTTACTTTAAGAATCCTAGGCAGGAGCCATTTTAGGAAAAAAATCCTCAGATCTTACATGTACCATTTGGTTTGTGCTTCATCATGAGCTCATGTGGGAGAGCTGTTAGAAGCTGCACTGGTGTACCCATCACTCTTCCAAGACATAATAGGGACTCGTGATTGTCTGGAGAAAATGCTGTCTTCAACGGTTTGCTGTAATCCTTTGATAAAGAGAAATCTCCGTCTGTTAGGCTGTACTGTTGTGCCTACTTAAACCCAACAAGACCAGATACGTGCAGTAAAGGGGGTTAGAAGAGAAATAGAGGTATTTGTGAGAAGTTACACAGATTAGTCCTGGAATATGAAATTCCAGAGTTGAGAAGTTGAATATATCTTGTGGGTCACTTGTTTCATATATTGACAGCAAAGGTTAGGAGCATTGGTAGTATCTTTGTTATGGACAAATACCTGGATTAATTTACCAGAAAGCTAACAGCCTTGGTGGCCATAGTTTTCACTCCTATGGAGTGAAGAAGAATACGTTAAAAACTGTGCTGTAAAAACTGAGACTCCAGCTTGAATCACTATTTTTATTTCCTGCAGAATAGAAGGACTTGAATTCCTAGACGAAAAGGAACTGTTTGAACAACTCATGCAGCACTACTGCATCTGCTGGGCTTCCAACGACAGCAGTAATCTGGGTAATGTTCTCCAACATCTATGAGCTGACCCTTGGGGCTGGGACTATATACACCAGACATACGATAGAAGTTTCCTGTAGCAGGGATGGTTTGTTCTCTGTCGTTGTTGGGGCTGTGAGCACCTCCTCAGTGCGTCTCGTGACTGTTTCTCCACAGCCTTTTGAGGGCTCATACTGGCACCTGAATTGCCCAGGAGTAAGCCTGTCCAGTACAGGGGAGTTAGAATTTTTACACTGAAAGATGCCGTATGGGTTACTTTAAATAACTGCCAGCTTTATACTATCAGTGCTAATTGAAAGCTTTACAAATCCTATGCATGTAAAGCGCCATATGGGCACACAGTATATGAAATCACAGTGTCCTGACAACATAAAAATAAATTTGTATTGCTTAGCTCAGTCTTCTTCTGCACTGCCCCCATTTACATCCATCTGAGACTAAAGTTTTCCGTGCTACTCTTTCCTGGGGGAAAAAAATTCTGTCTGAAGTTAACTCTTTTAAATGTTCCTTTTGTTCTCTCCTAGACTGGGATTTCTTTGAAACAGAGAGACTTCATTTATGCTTTGTGTAGCATTATGCATGTTGCTGCTGCTTAAGAAATAATGAAATCAAAATAATTGTGGTTGGGGTGAAGGATGGATGTCTACAGCCATTGTTTGTCCAAATTAGAAAGACAACTCCATTGCAGAAACAGTTTATCTCTCCTTCTGTCTGCAATTTCAGGGACTTCAGTCTTTCCAGAAAACCTCTCTGGTGTTGTTCCTCCTGCCATGAATAACTTCAGCACTCCTTCAGATTGGCTTATTCAAATTAATTGCTGTATCACAATCAAAAGAGAGTTTAAAAAGTACAGATCAATGTGTTTCCTAATTTCCTTTCCTGCCACTGAATCCTTTACATTTAAGTTTAAAAGAAAAAAAAATAATTCTCAAAGCATCTTTCTTCCTGTGTCTAACTGTTGTAGAAGTAGTCAAGTACAGGCAGTGTAAGAATGAACACTTGTTTCTCCCCCCCATCCCTCTCTTTTCACATAGGTCTTGCAAACATCACATTCTAAGGGATTTGCTGGAGGGAAGCCGCGGGCCCAGAAGCCGCAGGGACTGCCTTCTGCTGGAGACAAGATCACAGAAATCATGGGACTTTGCATGTGCCAACTTCAGTCTGCACATCCGTGTGAGCGGCGCCAGGACAGAAAGCGACAGGTGCTGCTGATGTCGACGGTCCTATTGGCTTTTGGTAGTTTTAACAAATCTCTTTTGCCTGTTGTGAGCAGCTGTTATGAGGCAACACTCGCCTCCCGTTCCCAGATATATAATGACGGACTTTCATAAGGTGTCAGTAATTCCTGTTTAAAAGCTTGCCTTCCTTAGTTTAAAACTGAAAGTAAAGTGTTCTCGGATTATATGATTTTCCTCTTTTGTCTTTTTGTGGATGTGTAAAATGTATTTGTGACAGGAAGCTGGAAAATCAATGCTGGCGAGCTGCGTTACTGGATATCTCTGCACTGTGCGCAGTTGATCATGAAGGTTTAAATTTTGTTGATTTTAATTCTGTTCAGCTTAAATTTTCTGAGGTGTCACCGTGTCAGCTTTCTCCCGGCTTTTACTGTTGCTACGAGGCTGTCACTGTACTAGGTGTGTTCTTGCAGGGGAAGGGTGAAAGAGGAAGGGGGAGTGTGATCCTTGTTCAATGATGTACAAGAAACTGGATGATGTTATAGCAGACTTTATTTAACTGGGAAGGGCTTAGCTTGGCAGTTCAGCACTGGGATAGTGAGGGTAAGAAAGAAATTAATCTATTGCACTGCTTCTGGTAGTATCTTTACACCAGTTTCTCATTCTTCTTTCTTTCCCTTTAAAAGAAACAAACAAAATCCCAACAGCAACAGAAGACCTTCCCCTATTGTTTGAAATTGAATCTTGCAACCTTCCTATGAGAAAAATAATAAATGTTTAGTATTTATAATTTGACTAGTGTCTTACTCATTAGAAATTACCTACTTACAGATGATTTAGTGACTATGTTTTTCCTCTCTCACCAAATGCCTCACTGAGAGTATTTTTTTAAAGCAGTTGCAAACATAAGCAACCCTTTGTGTACTGTATGTGGCTTTCTGTGCTGTAAGAACACCTGGCTTTGGAAACAGGTGATGTGGGCGTGGACTGGAAATGTGGGGAAGGAGATTTTTGAGATACCAGAAAAAGTAAACCATTCTTAAAAGAGACAGTCATAATTTCAGGGGAACAGAAGTAGTAAAAAGCAACAGCCTTCCCTTCACTGCCCTTCTGTCTTTCAGTCACCGATTTTAGTCACTGGTAGTTACAGGCCACCTCCCACCAAGTTTGTGTCAAGCTGATTTCTTTAAATGGCAAGACACAGAAATGCAATATTTGGGTAATGCTCTGCTCGGTCTTTGCAAAACGTTCACGTAAACTCTCTGCCCCCAAAGGGAAGGGATGGACTGTGCAGTTATGAAGGGAGCTTATAACCTTTGCTTCCTAGATAACAATATCAATGGTATGCTTATGCCTGCACATTTAGATGTTTGGGCTTATCTGTCCCCCTCTTTATTAAAGGCACGTGCAAGCTGTGTCTGCGTTAGTGGTGACCCTTTCTCTCTGCAGATGCAGGAGACCAGGGCACGTCTCATTTTTTCACCTTTTCCGGCAGCTGTAGCCAGAGACTGTCGGGATTACCACGGGTGGTTTCTCACGGCAGCTGCCTGCTCTCTGCATTGGGAAGGCGACTTGCTGGTGAGTGTTTCTGCTGCTTGGGAAGCGGGGGCAGTCAGCCTGCTGCATTTAATGGCCTGCTGCTCCTGGATTTTGCCTTCTGGTTTTGCACTGTTGTTACTTAGAGTGTTTGAATGTTTTTCATTCCCACTGTGCAACTGCTCTGTCTTACCCTAACATGAACCCAAGGAGCTAAATTCAACAAAGATCTACGAATCTGTCTTAACTAGACCTCTGAGTGCTCCAAAATCACTGCCTAGCTGAACAGCATTTATGCCAGAGACCTGGAAGAAGAAGAAAGCATTGTGCCTCCTTCATCTTCAGTGTACACTTTCTCCTGAGTTAACCTGTGTAGCTGTGGAAAGAGTAGATATCCCGCTGCACCAGGAGGAATTCCAGGATGCGACTGCTTTCTTGGTGTCTACCCCTTCAGAAGGTCAGGGCAACAAGCTCACCTCGAACGATCTGGAATCTTAGGTGTGAGTAAAGACAACCCTCTGGTAGCCACCAGAAGACAAGAGTATTGGGGTCACAAGGGCAAAATTATGCAGATAAAACCTCATCTGAAACTGCCTGTGCAGATTTATATCTGCATTCCCTGTTTGGAGCATAAAAACTGAAAAGGTTCCTTACAGAAACAAAACTTCATCCTCCGTCTGTCCTGTCCTGGTTTTGTTCAGGAGGCAGAGCCTGAGAGCTGGAAGGGCTTGTGAACTTTAACATGACGCTGCCAAAACAGCAATGATCTCTTCCCAGGCTGAGACAGGCGCTTGAGTGGAGGTAAAACAACTCGAGAATCTCGGTCAGTTCTGCTAGATTTACAGCATTTTTTTCTCCTCTTTTGCTGCTAGTCACTATCAGTTGGAACCACAGGTTTTCATTACAGATGTGCTGTCCATGAAACCAGCCCAGGTTTTGATGGAGAGATGGGTCTGATTCTACTGTCTGAGCCACAGTCGAGTAAAAGTTTACTTGGCAGTTCTGCTAACGCAGCTTTGTGCTGCCCAGAAGCTTGGATATAGGTATTTAAAGTGTGGCTACTCTGAAAATATCCTTAGCCCTGATCTTTCAAACTTCTTCGCTGGTCCATGCCTTGAGCTGTCTGAAATGGTGATGGCTTTATAACACAGGATCTCTCCACTGACGGCTGGTTTGGACTGGGTTGTTTTTTGTTGGATTTTGGTTTGTTGGGTTTTTTTTCTTGTTCCTCTACAATTGAGGAGAAATGAAACAACTTCAAAAAGAACTGCTACGTTACAGCCATGCATTTAGTTGGGATTCTGACGTGCTTGTCTTGTCTTCATGCTCCTTCACCCTGTTCCTTTCCCCAGAGGTTATTTTCCCAAGTCTAAACCCTGGTAAGTCTTTTATTTGGATGCTGCCATCTTCAAACTTTTTTTGGACTTCATCAGTACAGCATCTTGGATCATGCTGGGGACCATTAAGTTGCTGTTCTTGCTTTTAATGAGCTTATAGCATATGAGGGCCTCCCACCCACAGCTGCTGTGACTCACAGGAGAGCTCTGCTCCCGTGGGGTGCGTGCTGTCTTCCAAACTCATTTGCTAGATCAAAGACCTCATGTTATGAAAGCAAGACTAGAAGTTGGGAACTTTATTGGTTTGTTTCCATTTTGGAGAAACGTTAAGGTGCTCCTGAGATGGACAACAGTAAACATTTTACTTCTTCCACCTTCAGCGTGGGCTGCAGTGCTTGGGAAACGTTGTTGAGCTGGGACCTGCTGCTCTACCAGCTGGTGCTGTGTTCCAGATTCCTTTTGCTTCAGGTGAGCTGAGGTAATGGGATTTGATGCTTCTATTTACTCAGCAGAATTGGTGTTGTTTGGGAGCAGGCTTACACCTGCCCTGTCCTCACAGCGTGCGTTAACCCTATTGTAGAGGCATTTCCATCATCTGGAAACGAGCCACGTGGAATCCGCATCCCTGCGGATGGCTGGGAGGGGATCCCGGGGGGACAAAGCGCGGTGGTGACTGCCACACCGTTGCTCTGCAGCCGTGGGCGTCGGATCTCGCCTCCCTTCCAGCCTCGTTGCACACCTGACTGTCCCTGAACCTCTCCGATGATCTCTCAAAGTTCTCACTCTGGTGCAGATAAAAGCCAGTTCCTTGTGCATTCCCATAGATGCAGTTTTCCTCGCAGTTTATGGAGTAAGAACTCGTTAATGGATGACTAACCTCTCGGCACTGGAGGCTCAGAAAGGCTTTGACAAGATATCTGGTTCTGCCCGCAGTGCTCTTTGATGTTCTCCTCCTTGACGGCCATCCGCAAACGGCTCTGACCTGACTCCCTGGCAGTAGCATTGCCTGCATTGGGTGAGAGACAGCGTCTATCCTGAAAAACCTTTTGGTTTTTATTAATATGCAAAAAGTATCTGAAATAGCTGAGTCAAAGGTGCTTAAATATGAAGATGGGGGAAGCGAGACAATGTGTAGTGTCACAAATCTGCTCATAGCCACGTTTGACAGGTTACCTGACAGTTAAAATCTCTGTTAGTAAGAATCAGAGATTAAAAAAAACTGAAAAACCCCCAACAAACTGAAAGCCCTACAACACCCTCTGCACTGCAGGAGTCTTCTGGTGCAGTGACTAATGCTCGCTCTGTGGCAACGAGACTATCCTGCTGATTTCTTTTGAATAAAAGGAGCGAATACACAGTAGCATGAAACCCCATCTCCACTATCAATTTAATTTTGGCAAGACTCCCTTCGAGAGCATATTCCTGGAGCCTCTTGTACCTTGATGAGTGGGAGCCAAGCGGAGGTCTTACCTGCTCTGGAACAAATCTGTTCCCTTTGAACTAGTCGACATCTAAGATGCGACCACGGAGCTGTTGCATTTTTCATATAAATAGGCTTTGAGTGCCACTGGCTGCAGGAGACGGTCCTGGGCTCTCTGTCTTTTCTCTCTTCTTTGTCATAGTTTAATCCTCTCTGTGTTTGGAAATGATGTCTGCTAGCACGAGGCAGATTTTGGTGGAATTTCTGCTCATCAGTTTCTATTTTAGATCCCTGTATAATTTGTTCAGCCGAGGGAAGCACTGAAGGCTGCGGCATGGGAGCAGAGCTGGTGCCGTGGGATGAAAGGCAGGATGGTGCCCTGCTCCGTCTTCATCTAGATGAGCCTGACTTCCCATCTTGCAGCTGTTCAGCAAAACAGTTCAGCAGCCAGCCAGGAGAAAAGAGATCATTCCTGCAAGAATTCTTCAAGAGTCTCTTCTGGCTCAGTTGCCAGAAGTGGTGAGGAAAGTAGGGCACCTTGTGCTGCAGGGTTAGAGAGGATCAAAGGAACTGGGGGTACCTGGGGAGC